GGTGTTCAATCTTGTTGACATCTAGCGACTGCAAAGGCCAAGCATATGACCAACATCGTCTTCGTACTCATCAAGCTGTTCACCGACTCCCCTCGTGCTGCACCGTGACTCATCAGCAGGATGAAGGTGATCGCTCAGAACAATTTCATATCCGTTTCCAGGCCCCGCGTAGGTGACGGTTCACATTATTGGTTTAGTTTGTCACCTGTCTGTATATCAGAATATTTATTTATGTAAAACCGAGGCGCCTGTGTGTTTGTTTACAGAGCTGTGTTTACGGCAGAATAATTTTACATAATTATTGGGAAATAAATTGCAGCCAAACTGCAGCAAAGGAGACTCTTTACATGTTTTCACGGCACATAGTCGGCAGTAAACACTGAAAATAAATCTGTGCCTTTAGATTTAAGTAATATTAAACATTTATGAGGCAGAAAATCAAAAGACTAATAGTTTGGCTATATGTTCATAATAATGTAGAAAAACGCGATGTCGTGAGTACAGATTTGACCGGATGGCGGTGCTGTATTAGATCGTGAAATGCTGTGCAGTCATCTTTTAGGGACCAGGAATATTTGTACCATATTTTCATGAATATTCCCAAAAAGACACATTTTTAAAGAACCTCCAGGAATTTTGAGTATTTAGTTTAAATTTCATAGAAATCCATCAAACAGCAGGTGAGAGATTTCAGTCCAAAGGTGCAAACACATTACGATGCCACTGTGACCACAGCGCCTGCAAGAGCTCCTAATCTGAGCGTGCAAAGACTGACACGTTTTAACTGCACGCTGTGACCACTTCCTGCGGAGAAAACAATGACACGTGCATCTCTGCTACACAGCATACTGTACACTGGAGTTTGGATCAAGTCCACAGGAGGAAAACTCTTTCTTGGCAGGTTTCCCTTCAAATTCACGTCAGGTGTGCATTTATCAGTCTGTAGCTCTTTGTATGTTGGCTCTGTGTGTAAATACGCCTTAGATTTGCTGTGGTTTCTTCCCAGTAGCCCTAACGATCTATTAAACTGCAGAGACCACTGACATGATGCAGCTGAGCCCAGCACGTGTCATGTCTGGTATCTAAACACTAAACCCACCTGAGTAATGTTATTGTCTCGAGTGGCTCAAACAATATCAAACCCTGATCTGGATCTTTGTTATATGAAGGTTTAGACTTAGATTTAAATTCCTGCCATTGGCCCACTTCTTCCCTGTGGATTCGTTAATATGTTACATGATGCGGCGTCCGCCCGACCCCTCCATCACGAGTGGCAGTGAAACGGCGAGCAGAGGAGAGAGACTGCAGCAGACTCTCACACTGTGCTGAAATTAAATTAGTGTCCATAAAATAGGTCAGTAACTTGAATAAAACGCTTCTTTGGGTTTTTGAGGCACTGAGTGGACTCTCTGCACTGCGCTCGTACCATCTTACCATCACTTATACTCACTTTATAAACACAATGAGGGCCAACGGTTTCACAGAGAGGCTCAAACGCACTCAGCATGCAGGCAGGATGAGACCTAAAGTATAGAGAGGAGCTCAGATTGCAACGATTATGTCTGTTTACTGTTTTAGTAAAGCCAAACACAGTATTCAGTTCTTTTCTATATATTTCTGAGAGTGCGAACCTCTAAAAATGTTGAACATGTCCGAACGAAATGAAACTTGTAACACAGATGCCCCTTCCTTCACCCTCATTCTCCCCCCTGTATTATAAGGCAGGCGTGGAAAACGACTGCGGCGCCTGTTTACGCTCGTGCACTCTGAGGTTATCCTTGGAGATCTGCTGAAGTTAGAGAGGGGGTGCTCAGGGAAATGGATTTTTGTTGCTTTATTTCTTTAAAAGGACTGTTCAAGCCTGAAGAAGTGACCTGCAGAAGGCTGCTGAAATGATACGGCGTGCTGCGCTCTCGCTCCCTCCCCTCAGCGAGGCTCTGAAAGCCGGCAGACCCGATGACCCCCCCTGAGCCTCTATCATGGGCGCAGCCTTTCACTGAGTCACCCCACTTGCCACGCAAACACACACTCAGAAACGACATAAACAAATCCACACATGTGCAGAGTGGGCTCCGTCTGCCTCCTGCTCACTTTAACACACGCTCACGTTGTTTCGTCGGCGCATTCGGCTGATAAGACGTTCGGATTACTTTGCCTGCTTTGCGTGGTCGGGATGTAACCGACTTGACTCCCACACGCGTAATGACACATTCTTCTCTAACTACCTTGCAGGCACCGAGCCAGAGGGTTACTGGGACTAATTTGACAGCTGCCACGGCTCATTATCTGATAAAGCGGACGGTCCTCGGCCCCGCAGTTTAAACAGAATTCGTCGATGCTACATCTTCACACATTGTGTGTTGGTAGTGTGGTGTTCTTGGCTCATTTTGCTTTTGATATGAGAAGGTCAACGAGGACATCTAAGAGACGGTTCTTGTTTTATCTCTCAATTTGTGCCAATTTTAGAAAACTTTCAAGATGTTTTCACGTTGATGAGGTTTATCGATAAGACTGTGGCTTGATAGGATGTTCTCTCTGTCTCTTCTCAACCCAGACTTGACCATGGACTCCTTCAGCACCAAGAGCCTGGCCCTGCAGGCGCAGAAGAAGCTGATGAGCAAGATGGCTACCAAGAGCGTGGCCAGCCTCTTCATCGACGACACCAGCAGCGAAGTGCTGGACGAGCTGTACCGCGTCACCAAGGAGTACACCCGCAACCGCAAAGAGTCCCAGAAGATCATCAAGAACTTGATCAAGATGGTGGTGAAGCTGGGAGTGCTCTACAGAAACAACCAGTTCAACAGTGAGGAGCTGATCCTGGTGGAGAACTTCAGGTGACGATCGTCATTTATCGCTCTCGTGTCTACACGAGGCAGTTTAGACCGAAGCCCAACTTTGCTGCTTCTCCTTCAAAGCCATGTTATAGTTTCCTGGTGTGTGAGCATGTTAGGGTCCATGTTGGCTGATGTACCAACTGCGTATGCTACAGATGAGCACCAGCTATATTTATTTAAAGGAAATGAATGGGGATCATCCTCTGTAGGGGTGGGTGGTATAAACAGTATA